GCTGTTCCCAGCTGCACCGAAGGGAGTGGAACTGGTGGGTGAGACGCAGCGAGCGGACCTTGACCACGAACAGACCTACCCTCCTTCTGCAGCAGACCCCAGCTGATTTCTCTGGCTCTGTACCTCCCTGCCCGTCCCCTGCCTCCTTCCTTCCTCCTCCATCCCCAGCAGCCGGCCCTGTGCCGAGCTGGTTCCTACAACCGACCCAGCAGGGCTTCCCCCCGCTGCATGCAGCCAGGCGGGCATAAGGAGCCCAGGGAGGTTGTGGAGGAGCAACAAGTGAGCTGGAGCAGCCTGCAAGCTGCAGCGGGTGCGGTTGGCGTGGCCGAGCCTGCTGCTCGGTCACCAGCGCATCCGCCCTCCGAGCAGGACACAGCGTGCTAGGCAGGGTCACTTAACAGCTCTTAGCAGGGAAAGGGGCTTTGCTCGGAGGCAGGGGGACCTCTCTGGGGATGGATTACCTGGGTGCCATCGGGAGAACGGTGCCGATTGTCGAGGCTGAGCTCCGGGAAGGGGTTTGCATCGGCACTGCTGCGTGCAGGGCAGAAAGCGCAAGTACTAAAGGCAGCGGCTGTTAAACACAAGCAGGTTTCGCTTGCTCTGTCCCTGCGCTGACGAACGCCTTGCCGGTTACTCACAGCCCCACGCTCTGCCAGCCTTGCCCAGGCCCAGAGCAGCAGCACGCTTCGTTCTTCCCCAATTCCTTCTCATTCAGCCATCAGTAAAGCATTTCAGGGAGTGAAGGGAGGGCACCGATTCAAGCAGATTCCCTCTCGCCTCCCCTGCTATTATCCTGAGACACACCTGTTACCCTGAGCACAATACAATTTCTTTGGAAACTGAGTTTAGCGCTGCTTTGATCCCTGCATCCGTGGTAAATTCTTCAGCAGAACAGAACTGTTGGTTCCAGGAGAGATTAACATTGAAGTCGCATCCTTTTTAAAGTGACCTCCAAAGCTGTGAGTACAGCTCTGCTTCCCACTGCTTGACAGGGGACGAAGAAAGTCCTTTTGTTGTTGTTTTTTTGAAGAACAGGACAGTTTCTTTTTTTACTTGAAAAGCTCCAACTCTGCACGTCTTTGTTTTGCTCCATGCCCTTTGAAACACGCAGAGCCAGCAGGCTCCAAGACCCCCCAGCCCGAGGCGAGCAACAGGGGAAGGTTTTAGACACAACTTTCTTGTTTTTTCTTTTTATTTTTGTTCTCACCAAAACCAAATTCAGCAACTCCCTGGCACACACATGAAAAACACTCCTTGCAGAATGCCTCCTGAACAAAGCTAAAGGGTGCCTACATTATGTCATCGCAGAGCCATCTACAAAATACTGAAAGCAAGACCTAGTTTTTCTGAGATATTTCTGTGGCCAAGAGGTAGACAGAAAAAAACGCCTCATAGCAGTCTGCCATCAAAAAGAACTGGAAAGGACAAATGCAGATCCACCCCATCTCCCTTTTGCAAAGGGCTGTGGAAAGGGACACAGCTGCTCCCCAAAGCACCCCCAGAGGCAGTCCTGACCCCAGGGGCAGGATTTGCCTGCTCAGGTGCAGCACCTTGTTACTGGGAACAGAGAGGCAGGCAGAGGCCTCTGTGCAGCTTCACAGATTGAGCAGCAGGTTTCTCACTCCTCCCCGTGGCTGGAGAACATAGAGCTGGGCTGGAGAAGGCGGCAGAGGACGGCCAGTCTTGTCTGAAATCAGGAACTGGCTGGAGGATTCTTGGCTTGTGGGGCAACAGTGCTGTAAAAAGAAAAGAGACAGTCACATCCAGCAGGCAGGCAGGACAGCAGCAGCCAGAAGGATGTGAAGAACCAGGGGTTCCCTCAAATAAAACCTCACTGCTTGCAGCAGCAGAGCGGCTTGGACAAGCACACCTCTCCGTGCGCTGCGCAGGCTATGGAGCAGCACACACCAGCCCCCATGGGTGTCAAGACAGCAATCTTTGCAGGCACATCATCGCAAAAACCACTAAAAATGCTCTGGGCTGCAGACTGTGACCCTGCCACGCAGGCCAACTGGGAAAATACGGAACCTGAACCAGAAGTGTCCAAGACAGAGTCATTCTGCAGAGACAGAGGCTCTCTGTTCGCTGCGGTGGTTTGATCAGGGATGGGCATTTGGGAATTTTCTCACTTCTACCCAGTCAGACTCCAATACCACCAGCGTTCTCAGGAGAGACAAATACACTAGACTCAGACGATCTGCTGGAAGATGTTTTAGTAGCTGTAGTCCAACCGCAAACATACAAAAGTGCATCATTGTTCTGCCACCACTTATCTCTGTGGGACTCTGCCCCAAAAGAGCCACGTACGTGACAGAGAACAGCACCAAACGCAGCCTCTCAACTGCTCCATCTCGGTAGCACCATCTCACTCCAAATGCCTTTGACACAACAAAGATTTAATGTATCACACAACCAAACATCTCTTTTTACATAAGGAAATCAATTATTTTCCAGTTACCCTTTTGTAAACAAGATTATTTGCTTCCCAGTAAACAAAGGCAGAAGATCACCGGAAGGCAAGCAGCATGCTCTTTCAAATAATAGTCTAGAATCGTATTTCTGAGATAGCTGCTTGGCCTATTTGCACCGGGCCAAATTTATCACCAAAGCCTCTGCCAGCCAGACCGGTCACTCAGAAAAACAGGCAGTGTCACATCCCCCTGCTACCTGCGGCCCTGAGCAGCGTTCAGCTGATCCTTCATGGCGATGGCGTGTTTGAGCAGGCTGTCGATGCTCTTGAAGTACACGCTGCTGTCAGTCATGTTCTTTATGGCACTGAAAGAAGAAAAGAGGTGGGGTGGAAGGAGAGGGAGGACTGCTTAGCCTTTCCAAAGGCATCAAGGTTTTAGAGCAACACAGCCCCTGACAGAGGACTGTAAATAAGAAACCTCAACTTTATACAGCGCGTTGCATCTTCACACGGTAGCTAGCTGGCGGGTGGATTAACCGCAGGAGATGGGCAGCTCTGCACCACGCACAGAACTGGGGAAGAGCTGGCACGCTCATCAAAGCGAAGCCCCCAGGATCCACGGGAACGGTTCGGAGAGCACTGCCTCACACCCTCGCACCCCCAGCCCAACTGTGCTCTCTCCCTGGCTTACTCCAGGGAGGCGTCAGGGAAGCGCAGGCGGCTTCTGCTTTGTTTCTACTGCAACACCTCCGCCCGCGAACACAACCCTCCTGCTTGGGGGAGTCTCTCGTACCTGCAGGCGTACTCCACCGTGTAGATGGCTCCTTGGCTTTGCTCCTCCCAGCTCTGCATGTCAGACTGAAAGAGAAGAGAAGGTGGCATCGTTAGGTGTGCACTGGACAGCCGCGGCGGCGCAGCCCGCAGCGATACGCTCTGCCAGCCCTGCCCAAACAGGGGCTTTGGCTGCTTTTCACTGGAAGTTACGCTTGGATTCTGTCTCCTGCTTGACAGCCTGTGATGCACAGCAGGCTCTGGGTGCCATGCACTAGCATTTAAAAGGAACATTTATTGTGTGTATTTCTGGAAGGGCTATGAGTTCAGGCCAACATTTTGGATACTCTGGCAAAATTTGCGTTGTTTTTAGATGTTTTAGCCCGTGATCCAGCTGAGAGCCAGGTCAGTCAGGTTCCAAGCAACCAGCAACTGCGCTGAGTGCAGCGGACCAGCTGGATGTTTCGGAGTACTCGGATCTCCCAGTGCGTCTGGCTCAGCAGGCAGCCAGAATCTGAACCAACACAGCTCCTGCAGAGCCTGGTCTTTAGTCCTTCATGCAAAACCAGGTAAAAGTTTCTTTCACAGCACTGAAAGTTCTCGTTTCATTGGACCTGCCATTCATAAACATTTTCACAGCTGCAAGCGTCCCTGTCCTCTAGTCTGCTCTGAAACTCTGGCATCTGATCCCAAGCAGCAGTCAGCACCGTGCCCTTCCTTTCACGAGCTTCGAAGGAGCCCTGCAAACTTCACACAAACTCAAGCAGCACTGCAGGCAGCCAGTTCTGGCATGGGACATAATTGTAAGCTGTATAGCTCCAAGGAAAGGGAAAACCAAACAAATACACAAGTCACAATGAAAGCGCAGCTGAATTCAGAGGTGTAGCTCAATAGATAACTATTTCCAGAGTCCTTAAGTAGTTTGGGCACTCTTTAAAACATGTTCTCATGGGAGCTAATTCTCCAGTCTATTCTGCTGGGTCTAGTTACAAGCCAGAAGAAATCCAAGGGCCTCTTTCTGTGAGTGAAGGAGGTCGGGTAGGAGCTTGGACTTCATCCAGAATTGCTTCTGCTGTTGAAAGCCTGTCCTACATCAGGACGCTTGACCACATAGCTTTAAACTACAAAAGAAACAAGCCTCTACATGCAAGACTCTAGGCAGTTCTCTGCAGGAGAGGGTCCTTCGACCCAGGACTCACAACCCCACAGAGGCTGCACTCGTTCCAGAGCCCAATCGTGTTTTACACGACTGTATCTGTTGCTGGGAACACGCTTTGTGTGCGGAGGCAGCTGCAAAAGACGCAGAAAGTTTCCTGCGGCTCCTCACCGTGCTCTCTCCAAGAGGTGCCAGATGATCTTTAATAACCATTTAGACCCCGACATCGCACTGCCTCGGTCGTGTGTGTCACAGCCGCGTGCCTGTGGCCCTGCCATTTCTGAGCACCAGTAGATTTTAATCGTTTCCCAGTACTAGAGCCAGTGATGTCTGTTCCCAGCATTTCCACCGCTTCCTGGGATTTTCATGTCCTTAATTAGGAGCCTTTCCCTAGAGCTCCTCACTTCTTAATCTTTTCTTGATGTCCTTTCTTCAAATTCCCAGGACACACCCTTGGATGCAGTTTAAGAACTAAAGCCAGCTATTAATACACAATAGCACTAATGATACATTACCGTGGCTTGGAAATAAATTAACGAGGAGATATAAGTTCTCAAAAGACCAGGCGAAATGCAGGAAGGCCGCTCTGTGTGGAGCGGGGCTTAGCAGCACCGCTACGACGCGCGGAGGCAGCGAGGGCCTTGCATTACGCTGTATCTTATCAGGGAGGTGGTAAATCTGCTTGGAGAGTTTGAGATGGTGAGGAAAGTATTAAGATTATTGTTTTACCAAATCATAGAAAGTTGCTTGTTGTAAAGGCATGGAGGTGACCTTCTCTTTGCGGAAACTTTCCTCCCAGCCCCCTCCCTCCCAATTTTTCCTAGGTTTAATCTCCCTGGGAATTTCAAAGGCTGTGTCTCAGGAGAACTCAGCCAGCCAGAGATGGAAGAGCTGAACGGCTGAAGGAAAGCTGGAAACCACCAATAAATCCTGTTTCCATTACACATTACGTACATCCTGGGACTAAATTACCTGAGAATGGATCCACACAGAATGTTTCTTTTTCTTCTTTTCTGTTCTGAAGAATTAAAACCACCTCACTTTAATGCCTTTGCTCTGATTTAGATAAAACCTGACAGCGTTTTCACGGTGCACAGCCCTGCTGACACCCTCCTGTTCCAGTCTCTAGCCACGAAGCCGATGGGCTCTGGCAGAACAACCCAAAAATCCATCCCCACCTAATTGAACACTCCGCTGTGACGATAGCCCTGTCAGGGCCCTGAGCACATCCCTCTCTCCTGGGGTTTGGCTGCCTGGGTTCAAGGGCTTGACATGCCCAGCCTGTTCGCTGCAAACAGCAATGCCCAAAACTGGGATAAAATGAGAGCGGGATCAAGGATGACAGAGAGAACCTGGTCACAAGCCCATTACCAGCAGCCTGGCAGCACAGTCAGGACACTGGCCTAACTGAGTTATGTTTAACCCTCTCAGTTCCTACCAGGGACTGGTTACCAGCAGGGAGGAGAGCATGCTCCCAAACATGATGCTGCAGCCTTGGAAAAAACAAGCTCGTGAGCTGACAAGGCTGGAGGAAAAGTCACTAGCAGCAGCTCTGGATCTGCTGTTCTTTCAGCTGCCACAAATAATTTTCTTTCCATTTTCTCCCAGCTCTTGCCACATCAGTGCACCATTAAACACAGAGCCAGTAACCAGGAAAGCAGTTAAGCTGGAAGTGCCCATACAGCGGGCAAAAAGAAATGGATGTAAACAGCAACCCCTCTGAGCAAGCATCAGGAAATGTTTTCCAACACCAGAGAGGCCAACAGGTAGTGGGGTGGCACCAGGGCAGTGCCCCACAGTTCCCCGGGGCAGAGGGCACTGCGCAGTCGGTTCCGCTTTGTCCTGATGTGTGCCGTTGCTGCAGAGAGCACAGCGAGCTCTTCCTCGTGTACAAAGGCCACCACGGCCCCAGCTGGGGCTAGCGGCCAGGGCAGGAGGGAGGCTGCAAGGCTGAACACAAAGGCATCAAAGACCAAAGGTATCTGACGCTTGTGATGGCTGCAGTCCCACGGTGGGGGATGCAGGATCCTTGCATTTGCTGCTGGTATCCGCAGGGCAGCATGGCCTCCTTCCTCACAGGAAGAAAGTGGAAAACAGCAGCAATTTTGGCTACAAAAGAGATTTCTCTGGGGTGGCTGCAGCTAGGAAATGAACTTAGATGAGCCAGAGAGGTTGCAGAACACTGTGGATAACTGCCATGAGCCTGCCAAGCAGGGAAAATGAGAGAATCAAAGGTTTTCAGAGATCTTGCCCAGCATAATCCCCGCTGCCGAACACCATGCTCTGCGTCCAGCGCCTTCACTCGGCTGTCGCTTCCATTAGCACTTCTGCGTTGCCCCTCGCCCTCATCCCTGTTACGCACCCTTCCGTGATGGAAACTGATCTCTTCCCGCTGCATGACTTGTCATACAATTTGCTCAATTTCCTTTTGTTCAGGACACATTCCCTGAAATTGGGACTATCTTGATTAAATGAAAGCAAGCGACAGCTCAGGAATAATATTACAAACCTGTCTCCCACATGCCAGTGATGCAATCGCATCAGCATGTGCTATACATACATATACATCTCTATATACCTACCATTGCACACAGACACATATATAAAATGTTAATAAATAATTGAATAATAAAGTGTCACAATCCAGGTTAATTTGGAAACCAGGGCTGTAAAGCAAAGGTGAAAAATGGGGCCTGACAGTGCATTAGCATAGACATGAAGCAGTAATCTATTCATGAGACATCACTCCTAATGAATCATGACTGGCAGAAGAGGGAGAAGGACAACAAGGCTGGCATTAAAGTGTCTGTGCTCCGTGCTCTGGAGGAAAGTAGGAACACAGCTGTGAGATGCGATTCATTATCCTGCTTTGCCTCATGTGGGCTCTTCTCACTTGTTTCTTCACGCTCCCGCTTCCCTCCTCTCACCCTCCCCCTTATTTTATGTCGGAAATAAAAACCTCACAGCACAGGCAGCGGTAATAAGATTTAACATCACCCTTCTCCCTGTACAAGACAGACTACTCATTTTTCTTTCTCTCCACGCACAAGTCCAGCCGTGAGAGCACAGGACTGCAGTTGGACTCTCAAGTTTTTTTCCTCAGGTCCGCAGGTAAATTTGCAATGTCCCCTCATCCCCTCTAGTTCAGACCGAGCCAGGGTCCCGCAGCGCGTTGCACCCCGATGGCTGATTTCCTCCCTCCTTCCTGCTCCCCACCAGGGAGGTGAAATAGGGACAATGTGCCAAGTCAGGAAAACAGCTTGTGCCTGACTGTGTAGTGAAGTGCGGCTCACCTTGTGCTGTGCAAGCTCCGGAAGGGATCTCCGCACGTGCTCCTGGAGCCGGTACAGTGCCACGGAGGGCTCGTTGGCCAAAACGTACATGCTCTCGGTGAATTTGTCCGTAACTGCAACAAGAAACACACCACAGTTATGGAAAGCAGGGAGCAACAGGGGGGAAGGCGGGTTGGAAATGGTGCCCTGGAGCGCTGGTCCTGTCCCCAGCAGAGTCTCTGACACCTGCATAGATGTGCGGGCTGGAGAGGTTCAGAGAGCACCCACTGCACCCTCCTGCTCCAGCTTCAGCACCCGCAGGGGCCTTTACAGCAAAAGGCCCAAAGTTTCCAAAGCGACAACGCACCAGAGGAGAGATCAGAGCAAAGCCTCATGTATTTTGGATAACTAGTCTGTTAACAAGGACGCAAAAGCAAAATCCCGCTGAACAGGCAGTTCTGTTCCCACTCTCCCTGTAACAGCACCTGCAGCCAGCGCTGAGCTGGGCTCCAGACGGAGACAGAGCAGCCTGAGATGTCACCGCCTCCACGGTCCCCTGCGAGCTCTGGTTGTTTTGGTTTCAGGGACCACTTGGGTTATGCCCATCACTGGGCCCTTTCTAACCAATCTGGAGGGGAGCAGGAGATGAGCAGAGCCCAGCAGTGGCCTGGCTCCTGTTCCTGTGCTCCGCAGCCACCCCATCCAGCTGGGAGTGCTGGCATCTCCTGGTCTGGAGGCTCCCTGTCTCGTTACTGCCTGTTCAGGTTCAGCTCTGCTCAGGGCCTCAAGCTCTCCTGTGTCTCAGCCACCCCCGCAGTGTCCTTCTATTGCTCCCTTCCAGACATCTCCCCCTGTGACATCCTAAAAATGTCCACGGAGGAGACGCAGTGGCCGCAGACCAGGGCTCGGTAAGCTTCGGTGCCGTTCTGAGCTGCTGCTGAGCCACTTCCCCCTGCTCCACCCCTCTCATCCTGCCCCAACCTCTGCCTAGGCCACCCTCCACACAGCAACACCTT